AGACTAGACCGCACAATTGCTGAGATGAATTTTTGTCCCGTTTGTAGCATTAAGGAAACTTGTGTGGCAAAATGCTAACATTTTTCCTATAACACAAAGTGATACTTTTTACACAAAAAAGTATAAAGTATTCGAAGTGCACGGATCTAGATTTAAAAGAATTTTACAATGGATGTAAAAATAATCTTTTAAACATTATAAAATATGCACTTAGCGAATTAAGAGCTATAAAAGTGCGTCTATCAGTTCATGGGAAATATGTAAAACCAACTGAAAAAGCTGATAAGATGCAAGAAGAAACAAAACATTTCTCAAAAAACTATAAAGCAATTTACGTCAGCTCATATAACGACATCGAATACATTTTAAATGACGATAACGAAATGTTAATTGCAAAAGCCGGTGAATTCCAGGAGAGGGATTCTGGATGGGCTATTAAGCATTGTCGCGGAACGGATTAGGCTATCGATAGTCAGGATTTTTATGAAGTCAGTATTTTTATGAAGTCTAGTATTTAGTTTAGGTTATTTGGTCGCACTAAAATCGGGTAAAAAGGAACACAATATTTGGCGGATAAAACACATCGGTTTGCGCCATCACAGAAAGGGGAAGAGAAACTGCGGTATGTAGGATAAGTAATTATGTATCAGGTTAAGAACAATTGTTTTTTAGAATAAAACGCTCGTTACACACCACATCACTTCAACAACTGTCCTGAGTGTTATAAGGCATTCCCGTGATCGGCCAAGCGGTGACAAATTCTTTTATTCGCACTCTGCAAGATGATGCCCACGAAGCACTCACCCAGGCGGAGCCCCAGGCTGGAAGCCTCGGGCGTTCTCGCAACTGCGACCACCACGGCCACAGCAACTGGCACCGCGACCAGCTCTGCGAGTGTGGCTGGTGATCGGCAGAGGCCACAGACTCCGAAGGAAAGTGGAACAGCCGCCAGGAAAGCGGCAAGTAACCTGCAGCCCGAAGCGACGGGGCAGACTACGGATTCCACAACTGTAGTGGCGACCTTAATGGAAAGGATCGCACGTCTGGAGTCGGAGCTGGCGAAGGCAAGAGCAAGTGGAGGACAAGCAGACGCCGCCAGAGATCCCGTTGGAATCGGGGCACGCGGCGTTGGAGTGAGCGGTGCAGCGAATACACCGCCATGTTCGAGTGGAACGCTGCCACATCATGGAGTAGCGCCACGGCAGAGTTTGAGCGAAAACCTGCCCAGGCAGATGAGGGACAATCTGCAAACGGATCTCGGAGTGACGCCATCGCTGCAGTTGCCGGCACAAGTGAGTGCAAATTTGCCGCCACAATGGAGTGCGAATTTGCCGCCACAATGGAGTGCGAATTTGGCGCCGACGCTTGGCGGCCGTTGGGCAAACGGACAACCTGTGTCAACAACAACAATACTGCGCTATTCTCCGCCATCTTGTGTGACCGCCGCAGCACAGCCGGTGCTAGGTTATGTTCACCCAGAGGTACCTGCGCCATTGCCCATATCATATAGAGCGCCGACGACAAGCATACAAGGATGGATGCCACGCAGACTACCTGATCTTCCCGATTTCGAGGGTCAGCCAGAGGAATGGCCAATATTCCTGTGTGCGTTCACGGAGACAACTGCCGCCTACCAGTGCACCGAGTTGGAGAACAACCAGAGGCTAGTGAAAGCCCTGAAGGGAGAGGCTCGCGAAACAGTGAAGTCGTTGCTCATCCATCCCAGCAACGTACAAGCTGTTATGGAGCAGCTACGATTCCGGTATGGACGCCCGGAGCAACTGATCCGCAGCCAATTGGAGAGCGTGCGCGAAGTGCAGCCGATTCAGGAGGCCAACATCGCGAGGATCAAGCCGTTCACGACGAAGGTTAGCAACCTGTCAGCGTTCCTGCAGTCGACCGCGACCGGCAGCCAGCACCTAGCCAACCCAACCCTAATGGAGGAGCTGATAGCCAAGTTGCCGCTAAGCAAGAGGTTGGACTGGGCAAGGCACGCGGCCACGATACAGCCGTATCCGACGGTGGCGCACCTGAGCGAGTGGCTCCATGAATTCGCCAAACTGGTGTGTCACGGACGCCGGAGCCAGGGAACAACCGAAGCGAAGGATTCTGCACGCGAATAGTGTTCGCGAGGAGGAGCGATATGTCGACCGCCCCAGATGCTGCCCTATATGCGAGGGACAGCACCAGGTCAGGGACTGCAAGGACTTCATCAGCGCCTCTACAACGACACGGATCGAGTCCGCGAGGAAGCAACGACTGTGCTTCTCGTGCCTGGAGCCCGGACACATGTCCCGGTTCTGCAGGAAGAGCCGCGGATGCAACGTCCTCGGATGCCAGATGAGGCATCACCACCTGCTCCACGAAGTACCTAAACGATCCAAACGGCCGCCAGTCGCAGATGGGGGCCACAGGAGGGATCAGGACCGACAGCCGTACAGAGACGGCAACAATCGGAGGGGAGTGCCACGGTCAGTGGATTCCAGCGAAAGGAACCATCCTACGTCGGCCGCAGTTGTAGACGCGCGACGTGAGCGGGATGAAGGGTGATCGGCGTACGATCGCCAGGAGTTGCCGCACCGAAACCTCAACATCGACTCAATTGGATGCCACCTGCTGTTCAGGATTCTACCCTTGACGCTGTACGGCGAGAATACGAAGGTCGACACGTACGCACTGCTGGATGAAGGATCGTCTGTCACACTCATCGACGACGAACTCATCCGCAGCCTGAACCTGAAAGGCGAGAGTCGACAGCTGAATGTGCAATGGTTTGGTGGAAAATCTGCCAAAGAGCACACGAAGGTGGTCAGCCTGCAGATCAGCGCAGCGGGCAAACCAAAGCGCCATGGGCTGAAAAATGTGTACGGAGTGGCCAATCTAAACCTTCCGATGCAGAGCCTGCGTCAGGAGGATGTACAAGCAGTGAAGGCGAACACGCGTCTGCCAGTGATGCCGTACAACAATGCGACGCCGAGGATCCTAATTGGACTGGATCATGCGCATTTAGGAGTACCCTTCAGAACCAAAAGTTATGGATCTGGGAGGCCGTTTGCAGCAGACACCGCACTTGGATGGGTGGTATATGGACCGGTGAAAGGAAAGCCGAGCTCGCAGCTTCTGAGTTCGTGCCTCCTAGCCGTGCCCCAGGATGATCTTCTGGAGAAGATGGTCAGCGACTACTTCGAGACCGAGAATTTTGGAGCGAAGCCGGTGCAGCCAGTCGCAGCTGGCAGAGTGGACCTGGAGCCGTCAGTCGGAGATAGCGGCGACGCACGGGCCCTGAGCACCCTGGAGAAGACGACCAAACGTGTAGGCCAGAGATACGAGACCGGGCTGCTATGGAAGGACGACAAAGTGAGATTGCCGGAGAGCTACAGCATGGCCCTCAGGAGGCTCGTCAACATAGAGCGTAAAATGAAGCGCGATGTGGACTTCGCGTCGGCTTACATCCGGATAATGGACGATTATGTCAAGAAGGGATACGCACGACGACTCCAGGAAGGAAGAGGTTTGAGGTGGGCAAAGTGTGATACCTGCCGCACTTCGGAGTGGAAAACCCGAACAAGCCTGGGAAAATCCGGCTGGTTTTCGATGCGGCTGCCAAGGTGGACGGTGTGTCTTTGAATTCAGCGCTACTGAAAGGCCCACAGCGCTACAAGCCCCTCCCAGCAGTGCTCTTCCATTTTCGGGAAGGAGCGGTTGGAGTTTGTGCAGACATCAAGGAGACGTTTCATCAGGTACTGATGCAGCCGAAGGACAGATGCGCCCAGAGGTTTCTGTGGAGAGACGGAGACGACTAGCGAGAGCCGGACGTATACGAGATGGCAGTAATGACGTTCGGAGCGGCCTGCTCACCATGTTCGGCGGACTACGTGAAGACCGTGAATGCCTTGCGGTATAGCAACATGGACCCGTGAGCAGCCCTGGCCATCAACGAATACCACTACGTGGATGACTACGTCGACAGTTTCGCCAGCGAGGACGAAGCTATCGCCATCTCGACACGGGTGAGAGAAATTCACGCTGAAGCAGGTTTTGATTTGTGCCGATTTACCTCCAGTTCGGCAAGTGTGGTCAGAGCGCTGAACCCACTTGAGCCCATTGCCAGCGTCGGATAGACCGAAGCTGAGGAGAAGGTGCTTGGGATGTACTGGCAACCGGCTACCGATGAGTTCAAGTTCGGCGTCAAGTACCATCGAGTCCCGAGGAACGTGATGACGGGGGAACGAGTCCCTACCAAGAGGGAGTTCCTAAGCCTGGTGATGTCTACGTTTGACCCGATTGGGTTCCTGAGCTGCTACATGGTGACTGCCAAACTGCTGCTGAGGGAGATTTGGCGGAGAGGAGTCAACTGGGACGAGCCGCTACCGGATGAATTGGCCGCAGCCTTCGAGGATTGGCGGCAAGGGATGAGTCGGATCCAGGAGTTCCGATGCCCGCGCCACTACTTTGGCGGCGGACGAGTGCGGACGCTACAGCTGCACATCTTCGTGGACTCCAGTCAATCGGCGTTCGCAGCAGCGGCCTACTGGCGGGCCACGTACGAGAACGGAGACGTGCAGGCGCACTTCATAAGCTCCAAAACGATATGCGCCCCGATGAGGACCATGCCGATCCCGCCACTGGAACTCCAAGCAGCGGTATTGGGCACGAGATTGATAGACACCGTCAAGCAGGAGCACGGTGTGGCGATCAGCAGCTGTGCGCTATGGACGGACTCCAAGACTGTGTTGCACTGGATAAGCAACACCCACCGGAGATACAAACAGTTCGTCGGAAACCGGGTGGCGGAGATTTTGGAATCGACAGAGGCGTCCCAGTGGAGATGGATCCCGTCCGCCGAAAACGTGGCGGATGACGCGACAAGGCTGCGCAAGGCCGTGGACCTGAGCATCGGTTCGCGATGGCTAAGCAGACCGCCGTTTCTATGAGGACCAGAGGAGAGCTGGCCGAGATCGAGCGAGGACTGGATTCCTCCGACGACCGACGACGAGGATATGAAATGTGAGTTTGCCTTGGTCACGGTAAACTTTATATCCCTGCAGAGGTTCTCCAGCTATAATCGACTGGTGAGGACGACTGCGTGGGCGCTCAGATTTGTTCGACGATGCCGTGGAATACGTCGCGATGAAGAGGTCTACGGATTGACCGCGATCGAGTGCGCTGAAGCAGAACGCGCATTGATACGGCAGTCGCAGCGAGAAGCGTTTGCTGAGGACAGCCAAGGAAACGTCGCCAAGGACAGCCGACTGCACGGACTGTCCCCATACCTTGACGAGGACGGAGTATTGAGAGCCAGTGGAAGGATCGACGACGCGACGTGTGTGCCATACAACGCACGTCGGCCGATCATACTGTCTCACGAGGAGGCGCTGGCAGAGATGATCGTGCAGCAACACCACGAAAAGATGTGCCACCAAAACACGGAGGCGATCGATTCGGAGCAAGTTCTGGATAACGAGCTTGCGGAGACTGCTACGGAGGGTGGTGAGCAAATGCAACGTTTGCAAGCTGCGGAAGGCACGACCCACATAGCCCGAGATTGGCCCCCTGCCTGCGGATCGGCTAGAGGCCAACGGATGGCCATTTAAGTCTACTGGCCTGGACTACTTTGGGCCGCTCCTTGTGACAATTGGACGTCGCACAGAGAAGAGGTGGGTGGCACTGTTTACGTGCCTGACCACGAGGGCTATCCACTTGGAGATGGCTCACGATTTGTCCACCGACTCCTGCATAATCGCCATGAGGAACTTCATGAGCCGCCGTGGACCAGTGGTCAGGATAAGGAGCGACAATGGGAAGAACTTCGTTGGAGCCGACCGCGAGGCCAAGAGTTTCAGCGAAGTGTTCGAGCCTGCACAGATCCAGGGCGAGCTGTCGTCTAAGGGAGTCGAATGGATCTTCAACTGCCCGGCGAACCCAGCTGAAGGTGGTGCCTGGGAGAGGATGGTGCAGTGCGTGAAGAAGGTGATGGCGCACACAATGAAGAAGCTCGCGCCCAAGGAGCATGTACTGGAGAACCTGCTGATTGAGGCGGAGAGCATCGTAAACTCTCGTCCGCTCACTCATCTACCGGTGACGGTGGACCAGGAGGCTCCACTGACGCCTAACGATTTGAAAGGAGCATCGGATATCCCAGATCTCCCCAAGGATGATGGACAGGAGCCCGTGAGATCCGCTACTAGGAAGCAGTGGCGCATAGCAAGGATGATGCGCGATCGCTTTTGGAAGCGTTGGGTGCATAAGTACCTGCCAACTCTTGTGCGCAGGGAGAAATGGTGCAAGCGCGTCGAGCCCATCCGTCGAGGAGACCTGGTATTCATCTGCGATCCAGCATTACCACGAAGGGAATGGAAACGATGCGTCGTGGAAGAGGTGTTCACCGGGAAGGATGGAGTACCTCGTCGAGCAGCGGTGCGGACTACCGATCGAGCCAAGACGACTATGCGTCCCGCTTCGAAGGTAGCTGTCCTGGACGTGGTGAATGCGGCTGCTTCACGGGGGTGGGGATGTCGCGGAACGGATTAGGCTATCGATAGTCAGGATTTTTATGAAGTCTAGTATTTAGTTTAGGTTATTTGGTCGCACTAAAATCGGGTAAAAAGGAACACAATATTTGGCGGATAAAACACATCGATTTGCGCCATCACAGAAAGGGGAAGAGAAACTGCGGTATGTAGGATAAGTAATTATGTATCAGGTTAAGAATAGAGCTGTAAACAATTCTACCTTTTGAGAATCGATTATTTTCGATTCAATTCTTGAAAAGATCGATTAAATCGATTTAAAATCGAAAACTGAAAAAAATGTTTTTCCAGGAAAAAAGCATTTTTTGCTTAAGACGTGGTAAGGAAAATAGAAAATTTACCTTTGCCAACAAAAATAAGTTTACATAAGTTTTATCACTTTAAAATAATTTTTCGGTTACTTACATTTATCCTGAAAATTTTTTGTAAGGTGACCAAACTTTTCGATGCATCGATTCCCTAAAAAAGAATCGATTCTTTCGCCCATCCAAAAAGATCGATTACATCGATTAAAAGATTGAATTGTTTACAGCTCTAGTTAAGAACAATTGTCTTTTAGAATAAACGCTCGTTACACACCACATCACTTCAACAACTGTCCTGAGTGTTATAACGCATTCCCGTGATCGGCCAAGCGGTGACAAGCATTTTACATTTTATGAAATACAAATATTAAAGCTAGAGCACCTTCCTGGTTCAGGATATGTTGAAGCACCTAAGAGCATAAGAAAAAGAAATGCTCTCATAAATGCTAAAAATAATGACATTTAATGTTTTAAGTGGTGCATTTTGGCTCACATAGCATATATGAAACGCATACAAATAATACCTCACCGCAAAAAAATCAGCTCATGAAAAACTGCCCAGAACTTAATTTTATGGAATTTTTGATATTAGCCAACCCATCATAACATATGAACAACAATAATTAAATTTTTCGGGAATAGAGTTTCCCATTACAAAGAATGGAATAAAGCTGTTCGAAAAAAATAACTCAAATTACAGCATAAATGTATATGAAATTTATGATGGTCGCATAGAAGGTACTACAATTAGGACTAAAGAAGTTAAAAGCAACCATATTGATATATTGGGTATAGAAAATCCTAAAGAAAATTGTTTGCATTATGCATACATAACAAGTATAAAAACATTGGGTAAATCACAAGTAAATCACTCAAATTCGGAACGATACTTATGTAGAAATTGCCTACAATTTTATTTGACCACAAACAAGACCCACAATATTAAGGAGTGCGCAGAGCTCGCAAATAACAGTTGACATATTCTTGTAGTCACCAAAAAACTGTTTTTTGCATATTAGGTGCGCAAAAGGTCACACTAGAACCGTTCACCTGTGTCTTTTGAACAAACGGTCTGTGCTCAACCAAAAACAAATTTTTCGTGTCCTTTTTGCTCGGGTCATTCGCTGACCATTTTGCAACGAGCGAAGAAAATAAAAGTCTCTTGCCTTTGTATGAGTGTATGTATATGCGAATGACTTGTAATTTTTATGTTGCAAACCACACTTGCTTTGGTGGATTCGGTTCGTTTGGAGTGTAATAATTCTTGTGTCAAGATGGGTCGCGATCACAACAAAAAAGTGCAATTTTTTTTTCCAATTTAATGCAGAATACAATAAGTCTAAGTGCAATGTTTGCGGTGTGAAGTTAGCAGGCTCTCACGTAACAAATTTGAAGCGCCATTTAATTGCAAAACATGCTGAAATTTATAATGAATTTGAGATTGACGACGACAAAGCGCAACAAAATACATGTATGAAAAAAAGGAAAATTTCATATGAAACCAGTGAAGCAACAATCGTGTCTTCAATTCTAAAGATTGTGACCACCGATGGAAAGCCTTTTTTATTTCTGGATAGCGAAGGGTTTCGACAAATATTGAACCCAATTTATAACGCGCTTTCGATGAATCCCATTACTTCTCGAAATGTTATGGAATATGTAACTGCCAGAGAGCAAGCTATTAAAGAAAACATAAAAGCGCTTGTAAAGTGAAAGCTTGTATCCCTGAAAATAGATGTTGCTACTAGAATGGACCAGGCTATTTTGGGCGTGAATTTACAAATTATACATTCTAGTATGTCTAAAGCTGAGATCGTCATCAAGACTTTAGGCATGATACAGCTTCGTCATTCGCACACTGGAAAGTACATCCAAGAAAAAATTATGGAAATCATAAATGACTACGGAATAACCCTCGATCAAGTATTCAGGTAAAATCTTTATTGCAAACTATGTTTTAAATGACTGTTACTGAAAACCTAAAACCATAACCACAGCATTACATCGGATAATGGAAAAAATATGATTAAAGCCGTTCAAATTTTAAATGATGGTTCGGACAGTCTTTTTGACGATAATGCGCACGATGACATTAACGGGGAAGAAGTGATGGAAAAACTCGATTCCATACAGGTGGCGAATATTCACCTTGTAAGGTGTGCTGCGCACTCCCTTCAACTGTGCGTATTCGACATCAACAAGCTAGATGACATCAGCCAAAAGTTTCATCCTGTCGCAAAATTTGTAAATTATTGCGTACAGAAACGAATAGGTAAGTGAAAACTTAAGATTTTTTAATATTATTTCAAATGTTTAAAAATATTCAACCTGAGCAGACGTTGGTTGAACGAGGGCAAAAAAAACGTGCCATGTCTCGATGTTGTTACGAGATGGAACTCTACATATTTAATGATTTTAAAATTGTTAGATTTAAAAGAGTTCCTTGCTGTACACCCTAGCATTAGTATTGATGCGGACTGGGATTGGATGGAAGTATATATTGATGCGTTCAAAGACACATACGAAGCGACCTTCATAATATGGATGGAGCTTAAACTAAAGTAGGAGAAAAGCCAAAATTATATAAAAAAAAAATTGCTAGGACAGATCAAAATTCGAGAATGTAAGTTGCTTGAAAATGATGCAATGTTAGCTGCAATCTACATTGATCCACGCGTTAATTGCATCCTAAATGATCAGCAAAAATTCTTAGCAAAGCCAAATCTAAAAAAAATAGCACACCGTTTATTGGAGCTAAAGCAAGTAAGGCTATTATTGTTGTCAATTGTTATTAAATGTTTTAACAACGTATATTGTCCTTGTCAAAAACTCACACTTGTACTAAACTAACATTGCAAAAAATATGTTCTAATTAATTTTTTATTTAAGGTGCATTCCTCAACACAAAGTGCGCCATCATGCGGGGTTGATATCCAGGACCAAGAGAAGGAGTACACATCCGACGATGATAAATGCATCGTCGCTAACAAGGAAGAGTCTCTGCTTTCCGCCTATTTGGATGGCGTACAAACAATCTCGGAAGTTAAAGAAGACCCTGCATCTAAAAAACTGGTGAAAATCTATGGTGACATAGAAAATTTCGACATTATGCATGGACGTTTGAAGAGTGGACGATTATGCATGGACGAAGAGTGTAGTGTTAGCGAATACAATTTCGCTAAAGAAATTTGGAGTTCTTTTCAGTGTAGAACTTTAAAAGACTACATTAAACTGTATTTGGAGAGTGACGTTTTAATTTTATCAGATGTTTTTGAAAACTTCCGCAATATATGTACAAGAATATATAAATTAGACCCGGTCAATTATGTTTCAGCCCCATCTATTTCATGGGATGCTATGCTGAAGTATACAAAAGTAGAACTAGAATTAATAAGTGATCCTAACATGTACAATTTTGTAAAAAGAGGTGTACGTGGAGGACTGACTCAATGTACTCAAAGAATATCAAAGGCAAATAATGAGTACATGAGAAATTATGATAAAACGAAACCAACAAATTATTTGTCATATATTGACGCAAATAATTTATATGGTTGGGCTATGAGCCAAAAACTCCCAATTTCAAATTTTAAATTTTTAAACAAAAATGAATCTAATTTATTTGATGTACAAAATACTGATTTCTCAGGAGACACAGAAGTAGATTTAGAATATCCTGAATAATTCATGACAAACATAATAGTTTACCATTTTGTCCCGAAAATAAAGTTCCACCAGGAGGAAAACAGCCCAAATTAATTGCAGATTTAAATTCCAAGGAGTTTTATATTATTCATTTAAAACAGCTTCAACTATGTCTAACACATGGATTAAAATTAAAGAAAATTCACAGAATCATATCTTTTAGTCAATCATACTGGTTAAAGCCCTATATAGATTTATATACAAAACATAGAATACAGCAAAAAATGAATTTGAAAAAAATTTTTATAAATTGATGAACAATGCAGTATACGGAAAAACCATGGAAAACGTAGAAAAGCGTCGAGAAATAACGCTAGTAACTCGGCATGAATCTGCGCAAAACTCTCCAGGGTTTAGACAACTTGTTGCAATAAATAATTTTCATAGTGTAGAAATTTTTGGAGAAAATTTAGCAGCAATTGAAACTACAAAGACTTCAATTATGTACGATAAGCCTATTTATATTGGATTTACAGTTCTTGATTTGTCAAAATGGCTAATGTATGATTACTATTATAACTTTTTACTAGTAGAATGTCCCACAGCCAAAATAATATATATGGATACAGACTCTTTTATAGTTTCTTGTAAAGAAAATATATACAAAATGATGAAAAAATACTCTAGCCGTTTTGACACATCAAATTATGAGTCAGGAAACCGCTTCAACATAATTCAAGCTAACAACAAAGAATTAGGCTTATTCAAAGATGAAAATGCTGGAAAAATGATGACCTCTTTCGTGGGTCTAAAAGCTAAAGCATATTCATTTTTGGTAGAAGACAATGACGAATACATAAACACAAAGAAAGTTAAGGGTGTTAAGCAATCGGTAATAAAAAAACTATGTCATTTTGATTATATTGAATGCATTAGACATAAGAAAACCTACTATGGGGAACAAAGATGTATAAGAAGTAGGGGTCATAAGTTATATACTGAAGTAGTTAATAAAGTAAGTCTTAGTCCTAGAGATGATAAAAGATGGGTA